CCCCAAAACCCCAAAACCCCATGATTATCAATTTAGTGGCATCACTCACTCATAAAATTTAAATTGGTTATTTCATTACTTAATTAGGAATCAAATAGTTTCAACTTAGAGTCTAAACCTTTGTTTAGGTACAATCTTGACGATATGAAAGCCATTTACGATAATATATTAGTCCTTGAAATATTCATCAATACATTCAAGTAGTACAAATTCGATTTCATACTTATTCTAGTTCTAATAATCACTATCTCCATCAATACTTAAATCTTTCCGTTTCAATTCTTTGAAACTAATCATACTAAATGATTATATTTCTTAATTCTATTTTCCTAAAGTTGCTCCTCCCACCAAGTTGAATTTCTCATCAAAATAGTAAAAAGTGGTTTCAAACTTTGCAGATTACTGATAATCTTTCTCAATGTCAATAAAACTTTGATGATTCATAAATACATGGTAATAACCAGTAATTTCTTTGATTCCTTCATTATCTGACTTGATTATATTGAATTTGCCAAAGTATTTAGTTTTGTTTTATGATTCATCCCATGTCTAAGTTATCATATTTTTCAGAGATAAACCTTCATGTTTCTTTAGTAGAGAAATGGGACTTATGTCTTCTAGGTTATATCTCATGCACATTTTCTATCTAGGGCTGCTAACATATAAATATTTTCTCTCAATATCATAAACTTTAGTAATTCTCTCTGGCTTTCGATATACATATCTCGTAGTATCAATTTTCATTCTATTATTTACTGAATCAACGATATGCCTATAGTCTGATATCAAAATTCCATCATTCATTTATTATTGAACTGTAAATTCTGCTTAATAATTCAGTGGAAATTAGAAATTTTCAGGCCATTATTAGCCTTATAGATTTAAGCCAATATTCTATATCCATTCAACCTCGTCTTTAAATGCTTTGTCTTTATCTGAAAAAACCAGAGTCTTGGTCTAGTGAGACATCCCATATAGCAATGATATGGAGATGATTAGTATTTATTTCATTTTTAACTAAACTTCTTAATTTGGCAATTAATATTCTCTATGGGGTTTTGGGGTTTTGGGGTTTTGGGG